AAAGAATTCAAGTTTTTTATGTGATTATCCCAAGAATGTGCTTCTTATTCCTCACGATTTAGATTTATACTCTCTCTTTCTGGTCTGTCTCGTTCTCTTTCTTTCTCTGGCTATTCCATCTCACTCGCACTCCCTCATTTGATTTGGCGCTTTTATAGCATTCATCAAAGCAAAAATATCTGTTACGAAATTTTTGCATTGCAAACAAAGTAATTCAATTTCTTTAATATCGAAGCTGTGTAGTTTTTGCCCGTCTACACGCATTTGGTTGAAAGACCGAAAAATATACATAGTGAATAAGTTGTGACGAATGATACGTACACTTTTTATAATTCTCTCTCTCTCTCTCTCTCTCTCTCTCTCTCTATTTTTCATTCTCTGTGATGGTAGCAACATGAATTCCTGGCTAGAATTTCGGTCGTGTGTATCGTGTGTGTGTGTGTGTGAGCTAATATAGTAGCAGACAGTAAAAATGATGCGTTAGTCGGCACATTGAATTCCATAGAAGCGATGTAATTTCAAGCGAAGAATTTTTTACGAATTTATGATTGTTAGTGGCATATTCGCATTTTGGGTGGTTTCGCATAATTCAAGACCCATAGTTATATTATGTTTTACAAGCTCTCAAAAGAATATTTGAATGTTCTTATCCAATTCAACAAAAAAAAAACTCCTTCGCCTTTGTTTGCCCAAGTCTGCTGACTGCGTAAACATTCGAAACCAAGGTGGTTTCATTTCCATAAAGACTCTCTGTGTATTTTTGTGTCAGTTTCTTTTCTCTTTTACTGGTTAAAATGCAAATATCATTTGAAACCGGTCATCGTAGATGCGTTTTACAGCATGCGGTTTTGTTATGAAAGCAAAATGTGATACCTGCTAAATCGGACTCATCCATTTTTCCCTTCTTTCTCCGTTCGTTTTTTTTCTCTTCTATGTATCTTTCATGTGCCATTGTTCACTGAAATTCACTAAGTTTATCGTAATCTGATCGAATCCGATCTGTTTATAAATGCTTACGAACGTTTTTTCTCCCTTCTTATTCTTCTTTTGTATTCAAAAAAAAAAACCGAAAAAAACATACTGGACATTCAGTGAGTCGTTCGTTTTCGGTTTCATTTGCATTTTGATTAGTTAATGTTGTGCGCGCGCGGGCACTTGGCTCGCCTTTTCTTCATGCTGATAACGCATAAACATTTAAATAGGAAAGGATATCAAAATGTTGTACTCTATTAAAATTTTATGCATTCAATGTGAATGTGAGTCTCTCTTTCGCTTCAAATATACACATTTCGACAGAAAAAAAAAAAACGAAACATAAAGACATGTAAAAGCGATGTTTGTTTTTCATGTCGAAAAGGAAGAGTGGAAAAGGGACTGCGGGGAGAATAAGAAAGAACTTTATTCTGATAACAGGAACACGTTGCAGTTTCGTGCCGAATTGGAGAAAGACTGAATCAGATAAATGCGAAAAAGCACCAGCGAATATCTTTCGACGTTGTCATCCTTTCATACGCATTCAACTAATTAAAATTATTCCTAACTTTACTTCATTCCGCTAAATGAACTCTTTACTAAAAATGAATGCTTTCAATTACTTTTTCCCCCATTTTTTGCTGCTGAACTTTTCGATTGTAGTAGTTTGTCGAATAAAATTTCGAATTATGTCTTAATTTAGCTCAACTATTTTCTCAACAAAAATATTTGTGCGAAATAAATATTTATTGCATAACTAATTGTCTGAATCTTTGCTTTTTGCAAAAATCAACCGAGCCGCAATATCCGTGTTGACGTGACCAGTTCCAGGGATTTTATCTCTACGTGGTTTTTTCTTCTTCTTCAACTTCATTCCGTTTAACGATTTCCTCGTCATCACTTTAAAATAACATATAATGTAAAAACAAAATACGTTTGCAAGAGAATCACAGAAAAAAAAACTGGATATTTCTTATTGACTGCAAACGATGCTTCATAAAATGGAATCGTTTCGGAGTCAATTATGAGATATAATTTCGTTAGCATTTTTATACACTCGATACATACACATTGAACGCATTGAGAATATACAGACACACATCAGAAATGGACGTAATGTTTGCGATTCGCATGTGATCAAATGGAATGGTAATTTCGTGCTGAATTTTATGGATGCCAATGGGATCGAATGGGACCATCGGCAAAATGTAAAAAAAAAAATGCAATCGACTTCTCTCTTCGCTTATCGGTTTTGTGCTAAACGCAACAAGTCATCGCCAAATTTGGAACTACACACATGGTTCACAGGCTGAACGAGTTCAAGAAAAAAGGTAAAAGGTATTTCAAAAAAAAGAGAATAAATGTTGAATATTGAAATGAACCTGATATTACCATATGAGTCATTACATGAAATTTGATTCGATTGCTTTAGTTTTCGCTGTCTCTTTCTGTCTGTCGATTCATGTGGATTGTGATGTTTGCACAAAAAAAGCTGGTGATCGTCGACAGATTATGAATCGGTTTGCGTGGAAGAGTGAACATTTTTGCATTATTATTGAATATGCATTAAAAACGAATTGAGATTATCAAAAGCGACCTTGCTGCCGGCGTGTCAAATCCCTCACTTCACCTTAAAAATGTTCATTTGTTGGAGCTGATATTTCATCACTTCAGTGAGAAAAAAAAATTATATATGTTGAAAAATAACAATATGAAAAGGGTAAAATTATTCAAGACAATGTCATGATGACGACACAATGCTGTTTATTGTTATTGTATAGGCAATCTTGTTAGTTGGTTCTGTGTTATAAGTGTAATTACGTACGCACTCCCATTTCGAGATCATATGTGCGTATATATAAAATTAGAGGCAGCGAATGAAAAGAAAAATCACATATTCCAAACAAATTCTCAGCGAGAGAGCGACAAAGAGTGGAGAAAAAAAGTACAGTGCTATAATTACCGTGCTCGGTTGTTTTTTTTTTATTGCGAATGCATATGCAAAGAAAAGAGAAAATCTTGATCGTTCTATTCAATTGCGTCGTTGTTGTCGTCGCGTTCGAGTTATGTAAATTGTATATTCTACAGTGTATATTTGGTGCGTA